CCTAAGGGCTTCTATGTCGGTTTGGCATTCGAATTTTTATTCACCAATTCGCGCTCAGTGCCATGCATTCGCAACGCTGCCGTATGATTCCTATGTAAACATTCGCACTCGCATTCGTACAGCAGTCGTATTTCGCTGCTCTCGAATGTTCTCGCGAATGCGAGTACGAATGTTTATATAGAAATCATACGGCAGCATTGCGAATGCATGCATAAACACGAATGAGCGAATGAGGGAATGAACGAATGAATGATGTAGTCACGAGTTCGCTGTCATAAGCACCATGCGGCCACACTCGTTTCAAAAAAAACTGAAATTATTAGTTGGCAGAAAATTACCACATGGTTTGGATAATTTCATCATAGAAGCAGGCTACGACTGTGAATCGGCAATAGGAACAATAGACGAAAAATCTATAAAGTCAATTGAAGATCACATAAATCAAAACCGAAACCTTTTGACCGGAACTGTTTACGAGAGTTTAATTGTGAATAATTTTGATTTCAAACTAAAGCCTGGCCATAAAGCCATAGTTCTCAGTTTGCCAAAATTGCTTGCAGAGTATGAAAAAGGAAATAATAAAAAAAACTGTGGTTGTTCACGTACATTTGACGACGACGAAAAAAAATTAAAGCAGGCTCTCGTGACAAAACTAAAAAATTTCGCCGAAAAAATTTCGATTGACTTAAAATTTGGTGTCGAATCAGTTTATGATTTTCATCAAGAGAACGGGGCTCATAAATGTCGTTTTGAATGTCCTTTGTGTTGTGCAAAAATCAAATGTGAATATAAAAAATATTGGTTAGTGAGCAATCTCGAAAAGCATATAAAAAATCACTATAGTCGCATCGAAACCGTTGAATTGGAGGCAATTGAAGAGGACCCAAACCAAGAATCGATACAAGTTATTTCTTATATGAACATTGAACAAGCTGAGGCATTGGACAGTATTCTTAGTGATACGGAGTGAAAAAAGCAAATATGGCTTACTACGTCGTATATTTACTCGAAAAACAAAAATATGTCATTGTGCCAGCAACGTGGGTCAAAGACATCAAAGACCACTATGAAAAGTTTATCAACAATAGCTTGAACCGTTCGCAAACATTCTTGTGTTTTTATCCTGACGATTCTTCGCCAGCATTTATTGACGGTTGCCCCTCCGAAAATTTTGCACCCAACTTTCATTCGGTATACTGCTTCATGGGAAAGTTGAAACGCTATTTTGGTGAGTAGTTTGAAATATTGACATATTTTTCTGCTGCAATTTTATTTAGTTGTCTTATACTCAAAAATGGTTCGATTGTAAATTTCGTTTTTCATTAGAACGATATGGTGATGCTCAAAGTCACATGCAGCACATGCGCAACGTAAAACCGCCGGTTTATAATCAACGTCGTCTTACAGAATTACCGATCCCGGATGTTAGCAGCCAAACATCAGCAGCGGCATCCACCAATTCGAACATTCATGACTCAAACAGCTCCGATGATTCATTTGGAGACGATGATCACAGTGAATATGACTTATCATTACATGACGATGAAATCACCGATGAAGCCCCGTTGAATGAGGTGAACAATGGCCAAAACATGAATGATATGGGTCCATTGAGCGATCAGGCGTTATCAACCGAAAATGTTGCCAATGAAGAAGTTGAAATCAATGAAACAAACAATGGCCATGACATAAACGACGATATGGATCCGTTGGGTGATTCGCTGTCATTAACCGAAAACGGTGCCGTTGATAATGCTTCGATGAATGAAACAACCAACCCTCAGAGTATGAACGATACACATTCTTCTCTAAGCAATCCAAAGTCGAATGAAACCCCAAGTATTTCTACTGAAGGCATGGCCGGAACCACTAGCGATGAAAATACCGCAAACAATCAACAATCTGAAAACGACCAATCAATCGGACATTTGCAAATTGTAGCTGTTGAAAGTTTGGCTAAATCTGCAAGCGATGAAAACAGCGACCATGATTCGGATGCGCTTGTTGGTGCCCAAAGTGTGACTGAGTCGACAGGTGACGAAACCATCGCAAATGAAGCAGCACCTTCGCATGCTACGGCTCCTGAATCTTCTCGTGATGTTCAAAGTGATCCCATTGAACATACTGTTGAGCCAGAAAATGATGAAAGTGGTGCACACATTTCTGAATCTATTTCATTGAATACTGCTTGTGTTGTGAAGGCTGAATACGTTCCATTATTCAATATTCACTCTGTTAACAATGCAGCGATCGATGAACTGTTGGATGATGAGCCGGAAGAGGTCATTTGCGAGGACGACGTTGTAATGCTTATTGGTCAATCTGGTGTGCCATTACCAATGGCTTCGACTAAAGATGAGCTAATCAAACGGGAAAATGATCCGATTTCCGGAAACACACCATTTAACGAAAAGGTAAGACAATTTTGTTGACTCCGATTATTCTGATATTTTTGATATTTTAAAATTCAATTTGTTACAGCGCGATGGAAGAGTTTACAAAATTGGCAAGAGATACATCCTGATCCCGAAGAAAGCTGTGGATAAGATGAGCGAGTGGAATACGGGACTCAAGCGTGATGACATTCGCTATGACAAAAAGTTCTGCCAAGCCCTTCTTCTCTCTTTGGTGGATAAGCAACAACTGAAACAGTCAATTGTTGACGCTGACGTAATGCAATTCATCAGAGGTAAGATTTTTCGCTTTCTAAACCGTTTTTTATTTGATCAGAAAAAAATCATGGAATCTTCCCTTCAAACAGACTGTTTCGCTATTCGCTGTGTTTCCAATGAAGAAGAACGCATTGCATCGATTGAAAAGCTAAAAGATGATATATGCTGCGAACAAGCAATGAACTCAAATCAATGAACCCAACAGACGAATGAAAAAACGATGAAGAGGCAATAAAGACAACGAGAATTCACGACAAAGATTAAAAAATAGCGTAAGGTAAAACTAAATGAAGAGGAAACTACACCACAGCCTAACGACAAAAAACCCGATTAATTCAGAATCTTATGAATAAAAAGAAAAAAGAAAACGAGAAAAAAATCATAAATAAGTACACAGAACACAGAGAAAAACCAATGAATCAAATTACTTTTTTATAGTATGATATAAAATGTAACCGGAAAATAAAATGTCCGGTTAGAACAGAAACAAAACACCAATGTGACTAAAGTGATAAAATAGTGCAACTTTTACATAAATATTTAAAAATGGAAAGTGATATTTTCAGTATATTTCAGAGTTTAAAATGGAATGAAAAAAATGATATTTAAAAGAAGAAAAAGAAGTCATCAAAACAGTAAAATTCAATGAATGAAACATATTTAAGATGTTAATTTTTAAAACAAAAAATGTGATTCAAATGTTTAAGTTAGAACAGAAACAGAATAACAAACAAGAAATTTTGAATGCAAATTCTAATTTTTATTTTGCAAACGAACTGATCATGTACCTTCAGATAAATATTTAATAATGGAAACCATATAAATTTTAGTTAGGCTTTTAGTATATTTCAGAAATTCAAATGAACTGAAAATAATTCCGTACAGATAACGAATAAATATTTCTTTTTTGCATTTTTATTTATTCTGACAAATTTTTTAATTCATCTTCTAATGTAATTAAACATTGTTGTGACAAATAAATATTCCCGTTCATATTTTTTTCGATTGACTGATGTGATATATTTGCAACATAGCTCTCGATATTGATAAATGATGATGCTACATACGAAAATAAACCATTTTCATCCATTTTGTGCCATGCAGCTAAAACTTCAACTCCGCGTGCATTCAACTCACGAGATATTGGACAAAAATCCCATGAATATTTTTTGTCCTTCTTTGCTTTAACATTCATATATCTGAACGCTAAAATGTTGCCCAACATGAGATTTTCATTGTTATTTCCTTCAATCAAATCCTCTTCAATTTGGTTCTGGAATAGACACCAATCGCCGATTTTAATATCAGTACTTTTGATTAGAATTTTTTTTAGCAGAATCGACGTCGACAAATTCTAGTTGACGATGTGAAGATTTCTTTTTGGCTTGAACTCGGATTAATCGGTCCGAGCTGAGTTTTTCTTTTGAGTTTGATATGCTCCAGATCAAAGTTGATTTTCGTGCAAATTTATCTCCGTCTTTTCCGGCAACAGCGACGTATGAACTGCTTTCTCCTGTAGTTCGATCTGAATAATCTGTGAGATAATCACCCACAAGTATTTCATCGCTATTATTACTTGAAGCAATACCCAAGTCAATATGGATATTATCGGAATACTGATTGACTGTATTGAAAGAAACTTCGACTTGCTTAATTTTACATTTTTCAATGTCTTTTTCGGTGACAATTATTCCAAACTTTTTGCAGTCTTCTACAGCGATACCTAATGCCTCCTTGATGGTATTATCTATTTCAGAATCTGTTGGTAGCTCAAAATGGTTGAGTTTAGCTTTGTGAATCGGATTTCTAGGAAATTTTACGTCAATATCAGCCAATTTGAAGTTCATTATATCATCCATTAGCTCTAAACGCCCGATGAGGTGTGTCAATTCCAAAAGCGTGAAATTAACTTTGGTGAAATTAAGAGTAGTCATCGAACGTAATTTGCGGAAAGATTCCTCGCAAGGTTGACTGTTAAACAATGTTGGATGAAAACATTGTGTCAAGCCTTCATTTCGAAATTTCTTCATCAAAATCACAAGATTTTTGGCGTTTAATTCTACACATTGGTAGGCGTTGCGACTTATGAAATTGGTTGCGAGATCCACACCAGGCGTTTGTTTTAGCCAGAGCCGCCATCCTCTTAGGAAAAAAGTGGATCGCCAAATCCGTGAGAGGCGCTCTAATGGAGACAAATCTTCATCGTATAGGCTCGATGTTATTTCGTCGCAAATACTGATGTACTCTATTGTGGCTTCGGAGCCAAGAACATATCTCGCCAGTGCTTCTCGCACCTGTGGTTGCATAACCTTCTCGAGAGAATTATAGTTCTGACGATCGTCAGGGCATATAGTTGAGTAGGATAATCCGTGGACAGCTTTCGGTACCGAATTTATCAGCATTTTCAAATGCGCGACCGACGCCACCTTGTTCCCAATTAATAAAAATATGACCGCATCCAGAAGTCGATTGCGTAGCTTGGTGCCAATGTGGATGATATCTTGCAGAAAAATAATTAACGAATCCATGACGCCAAACCATTCGTTCCAATCCAAGTTGAAATTAGAATTATATCTCATGCTATTCAAAATTCGCCCATCGCCATCACCAGAGAAACCCGCCACTTTGATGCCATGCCTAGAATTTTATGAATACTCAATGTAGTTGTTGAAAAACAATCGTTGTGTGGGTTTCTAATTCAGCTCTAGTGTATTTCCAACGTAACAAAACATCTTGTGTGGTGAACTTATTATCGCTACCGAATAACTGCAACACAAATGCAGGTACATTCTTCATGATGGGTTGCGCCATAACCATATAAACATGGGTGGATTTACTGCAGTTCATGTTCTTACGAATATCTTCTTCACTTGTAGCTAAAAAAGTGAATGGAATTGGCATACCGGTCATGGAATCGGTGGGAAGTACCAGCCCAACCATTTGGTTTGTTTTTGGGTCGAATTCCACTTTGCCTACAATGGCCGTTGCATCTTCGGATAGCCAAACATGTTTCTCTAGATTGAGACTGTCCAAATAATGATTCAATTCTTTTATTCGCAGCTCGCCCTCGATGATTTTTGGTTTATGTTGATTGATGTAACCCACTGAGAATGTGTGAATTTTATGTAATATATCAACAGCAAATCTCAAAATGCGAATTAAACTTACGAATTGTTTTAGCTTGAGGAATCGGTAAATTGGCGCTCAACGTTTCGTAACAAGCTTTACCACACATCAGATAAACAAACGTAGAAAAATATCGGCTACATTCGTTATAACGGAACCCTTTTGGATGTTTGCTGAAATTGGCTTCCGCAGTTTCAATAAATGTTCGTAAAATGTGCGAGAAATCAGAAGTATTACATTGCCGTCTCTCATCACAATTATTGTACTCTTTCAAATGATTTGGCAGATTGAGCAAGAAGGCTTTATGGCCTGGCTTTAATTTAAAGTGAGTAACACCTTCATATGAAGTGTTTTTCAGAATGGACATATCGTCATTTACGTATTGTTCAATATCATTTATGTTTTCAAGAGTAATGTATGAAAGAGATGATTCTGTGTCGAAGCAACATTCACTCAAAATTCTAACGATATTCGGTGGAAAATTAACTTTTAGTTTTTTTTCCAACTCCGCAAAAAACATGTTCGATGCCTGTAGTTGTGTGATAAAAAAATAAATAATTTTACAACACAATATAGAAACAGAAAAATATTGTTTACCATTTTTTTTAGTGAAACCAATCAACTGACTTTTCAAATCAAAATGTCATTGGCCATGTTTGTAAACATCCGTAGACATTCGTATGTTTGTACTGAAGTACGAATGCATTCGTAAACACTCGCATATCCGTACGCGCATTCGGTCGCATTCGCAATCATTCGAATTTTTGTTCTGAAACGCGAATGCATTCGCAGCATTCGCGAGAGATAAATCCCCCTAGCATTTTACATGAAACATGCGTTGACAAACGCATTTTTCTGATGAAAATGCAATGACATTCGCATTTTTACACGGAGCATGCGTTGACAAATGCATACGCTTAGAATCTTAGAAGGGAGGTGAACATGGAGACCATTGTAGTCCATCACTGTCGAGCTAACATAATATTATATATTGAGATACAAATGTATAATTGAAAAGCTTTGATTTAACAGAAGATATGGATACAATCATTGTTTATTGCTATCATATGAATATAATTTCGGTCATCATGGTTGCGTTAACACAAACCAAAATCATTGTGACATTTTATTCAGTGTTTTTACACAACATGATTTTCTAAGTGTATAAATATAGTTGACAAATTTTTTGTTGATTGAAAACAATAAAAACATAGAATACTATGAAAATAAATCATGTCATTTCATTTGTTTTTTTGAATAATTCGGAAGTTTTTATTTCATTTTGTTTTCGAGATGAAACCAAAAAAAAATATTGGAAGAAAAATGCTTAAAACAAAGGAAAAGAAAGCTAAGAGAATGGTAGAAACACCGTATGAACGAGAAAATCGGTTGCGAGCAAATCGATCCAGACTAACTCGATCAAGAATGAATGAAACCATTGAAGAGCGAAATTTACGACTTGATCTCAATCGTTTGAGAATTGATTCATTAAGGGCTTCAGAAACATCTAATGAACGAAATACACGAGTGGAAAAGCAACGTTTAAGATCAGCTGCAGCAAGAACAGCATTGCGTAGTCGTCCATTAGATTTTTATCGTGCGGCGTTTCGTTATGATAATGAAATCAATTATAGTTTACTTTCATGTGTTATAATCGGCTCAATGAACAAAATATGTAAAGCGTTGAAATTCAAAAATGAGAAACCGGGAATGTGCTGTGCGAATGGAAAAGTTAAATTACCAGATTTAATTTCTCCACCCGAACCGTTATTATCTTTGGTGTCAGGTGTGACAAGTGAATCCAAACATTTTTTGATAAATGTACGCATGTACAATGCATGTTTTCAAATGACATCGTATGGTGCAACTAAAATTATGAACGATCATTACATGCCAACGTTTAAAATTCAAGGCCAAATTTATCATCGTGCTGGTTCTTTACTTCCTTCATCAGATGGAGAACACAAGTTTCTTCAAATATATTTTATGGGCAATGAAATTGAACAGGTATGTTATGTTAGGTTTTGTTAATAGATAATCAATCCAAATTGATTGTTAAAGAAAACTATTCGATATTTGTATCTGTCAAGTTAATTTCACACACCAGCAAGTAAAATTTTATTCAGGAGAACATAAATTGATCGTAATACATCACGATATGAAAGAATATACATTTTTGTTTCATATTAGGTTAATCAACGATGTTCAATCAGTACGGGAACAAGACGAGAGATTGTTGGATCATTGCAAATTTTATTTAATGAACACAATTTATTGATTCGTTTGTTTAAAACGGCTCTGAAACGAATGCCAAGAGATGATTATAGAATAATAATTAGAGCTGATAAAACACCTGTTGGTCAACACAAAGGACGATACAATGCCCCAACAATGAATGAGGTTGCAATTGTTGTTGTTGGAGATCAATGCGCATGTCGTGATATCGTGATTCATCGTAGGAATGATAAACTTGAACGCATTTCTGAAACGCATCGATCGTATGATGCGTTACAGTATCCTATTATTTTCTGGCAAGGAGAGGATGGATACCATTTCAATATCAAATTGAAAAATCCAATAACAAGTAAGCAGATCAGAGTGATTTTTATTTGGCGATATTTTTCATTATGATAATTTAATTCGCAGACGAGGAAGAGACTAAAAAAGTTAGTTCCAAGCAGTACTATGCATACAGATTGATGATTCGTGAAAACATAAACAATCATATTTTGAAATGTCGGCAATTGTGTTCCATCAATATATTGTCGATATGTATGCAAAGATCGAATCAGAACGGCTTCTTTATATTCGTTTGAATCAATTGAAATTACGTTCAGAAGAGTACATTCATTTACGCGATGCTATTATTACTGATCGAGATGTGAATCAAATCGGAAAAGCAGTTATACTACCATCAACTTTTACTGGCAGTCCTCGACATATGCATGAATATGCACAGGATGCCATGACATATGTTCGTTCATATGGATGTCCGGATTTGTTCATAACGTTTACGTGCAATCCGTCATGGGATGAAATTAAAGATCTTTTACATGATGGCCAATCACCAGCAGATCGACATGACATCATTGCACGCGTATTCAAACAAAAATTAAAATCCCTAATGGATTTTATCATCAAACATAAAATCTTCGGGCGTGTTCGATGTTGGATGTATTCCATTGAGTGGCAAAAACGCGGTTTACCTCATGCCCACATTTTAATTTGGCTGATCGATCAAATTGATGACGTGATCTCAGCCCAAATCCCAGATTCAGATGTCGATCCTGAATTATTTGAAATCATAATGAAAAATATGATTCATGGTCCGTGCGGACGTTTTAATAAAGATTCACCGTGTATGTCTGATGGAAAATGCACAAAACGATATCCAAAAGATTTAACTGCCGAAACGATGACTGGCTCTGATGGTTATCCAAAATATCGTCGTCGATCAACTGAAGACAATGGTAAATCTTTTATGCTCAAAGTTAAAGGTAATGATATCGAAGTTGACAATCGTTGGATAGTTCCATATCCACCAATTCTATCAAGAGCGTACAAAGCACACATAAATGTCGAGTACTGCAATTCTGTTAAATCAATTAAGTATATTTGCAAATATATAAACAAAGGAAGTGATATGGCAGTTATTGAGATAGAAAAGAACTCTGCACCAATCGATGAGATCCATCAATATCAGGCAGGACGGTTAATTAGTAGTAACGAGGCAATATGGCGTATTTTGGGATTTGAAATTCATGAGAGACACCCGACTGTTCTTCATTTAGCAGTTCACCTCGAAAATGGACAGCGAGTATATTTTACCCCTGATAATGCACAACAACGAGCTGTTGATCCACCGAAAACAACATTAACGGAATTTTTCGCACTGTGCCAAAGAGATTCATTCGCAAAAACATTGTTGTATTCAGAAGTACCAAAATACTACACTTGGGACAAAACAGCAAAGAAATTTGAACGACGCAAACAAGGAATCAGAATTGAAGGTCACACAAATTTATTTGCATCAGATGCCTTGGGTCGACTATACACTGTCCATCCTAATAATTTCGAATGTTATTATTTACGTATGTTATTAATCAATGTTCGTGGGCCAACATCGTTTCAATCTCTGAAAACAGTTGATGAACAAATGTGTGCAACATATAGACAAGCTTGCGAGAATCTACATCTACTTGAAAATGATGCGCAATGGGATCTTTCACTTGAAGACGCGTCGAATACTGGTCATCCACATCAAATACGAGGTTTGTTTGCAGTAATTTTAACCACATGTTTTCCTTCAAATCCTCAAAATTTGTGGGAAAAATATAAAGACTTCATGAGTGACGATATTTTGTTTCGATTGCGTACATCAACTGGAAATTTTGAATTACAATTTACATTTCAAATATACAATGAGGCGTTGATTATGATAGAAGACAAATGTGTGGCAATAACGAATAAAACTCTAATACAGTTGGGAATGGAAGCTACTGATCGAACAACCGAAGGTATTCACGATAATGATTTACGACGCGAACAATGTTACGACATCAATGAGTTGGATGCGTATATACAATCAAATTTACCGAAATTGAAAACAGAACAAATGAACGTATATAGAACAATTATGCAAGCTGTCGAAAATAAAACGGGTGGACTATATTTTCTGGATGCTCCTGGTGGAACGGGAAAAACTTTTCTCATTTCATTAATTTTGTCAACTATACGATCAAAGAATGGTATTGCTTTGGCACTGGCATCTTCTGGAATTGCAGCAACTCTATTAGATGGTGGAAGAACCGCACATTCAGCGTTGAAGTTACCATTGAATTTGCATATTACTGAAGCACCTACGTGTAATATTTCGAAAAATTCGGCAATGGGTGAAATATTACGAATATGCGATATAATTTCATGGGATGAATGTACGATGGCTCATTTCAAAGCTCTAGATGCACTTGATCGAACACTGAAAGATTTGAGAGGGAAATTACTACCTTTTGGAGGTGCTCTCATTTTGTTATCTGGTAATTGAATGATTATTACATTCGAATTTTCTATTGCATGAATTTAATCACTCTAATAATATAAATTTAATCGACATTGTTAGGTGATTTTCGTCAAACTTTACCGGTTATACCGCGCTCAACACCTGCAGATGAAATTCATGCATGTTTGAAATCATCACATTTATGGAAATGCGTGAAAAAACTACAATTGATTACAAATATGCGTGTTGAATTACAAAACGACCCTTCAGCGACACGTTTTGCTAAACAACTGTTGGATATTGGAAATGGAAATATACCCATTGATGCATCTACAAAATGTATTCCGTTTCCACCTAATTTTTGTAATTTGATTACATCAAAAGAAGACCTTATTCAATGTGTATTTCCAAACATTATCCAAAATTATAAGGAGCACAAATGGTTGAGTGAACGTGCAATATTAGCTGCTAAAAACATTGACGTAGACGAATTTAATTTATCTATTGAATATAAATTGCCTGGTGAATTTATAACATATAAATCAATTGACAATGTTATGAATCAAGATGATGCAGTGAATTATCCGACAGAATTTTTGAATTCACTTAATTTACCAGGAATACCACCACATGAACTCAAATTGAAAATTGGTGTTCCTGTTATTCTAATCAGGAATATTAATCCGCCACGTTTATGTAACGGTACCAGACTTGCCGTTAAAAAATTAATGAATAATTTAATTGAAGCAACGATAATAACAGGCAAATATAAGGGCGAAAATGTACTTCTACCACGTATTCCATTAATGCCAACAGACATGCCATTTGAATTTAAGCGTATACAATTTCCAATTAAGCTCGCGTTCGCAATGACAATCAATAAAGCATAAGGTCAATCATTACAAGTATGTGGATTAAATTTGGAATCACCTTGCTTCAGTCATGGACAACTTTATGTAGCATGTTCACGTGTTGGCAAACCATCTGATTTATATGTATATACTAAAGATGGAAAAACTAAAAACATAGTTTATCCAAATGTACTGAAGTAAATCGAATATTCAAATGAATTATATTATTATTTTGTTTTTATTTTCAATTGAATTGAAGTTTGCATATCACATTAAAATTCAAAGAGATGACAACTTTTACTATGATATTTTCATAATCTATTCTTCTTTGGAAATTTAATCACATATTGCCACATGAATTGCCATTGTAAACAACAATTTTGAATACTGCGAAAATGAACAACAATCAAATTAACATTGTTGCAATTGAGGAAGGTGTGATGGCATGTTCCAACTGTCATCAAATAGCTTTTCCAGAGAAATACATATTGGGGCCGATATTCAATAGTGATTGGGATGTTCCTGGAGTCATTGTGCAAATCAATGAATTGGTATGATATTTTTGAAATATTGAAATTGAATTGTGCCTTTTGAAATACAAGATATTCGTTTATTTTAGTATTTTGAAGAGGTAATCACAAACTATCCATGGGAGCGACGTTATTTTTGCCGATCATGTGGAATAATACTAACATTTGATTCATCCAATGTACCGGATGTTGTTGCCGAATATCAATCGATGGAACCATGTGCAATTTTCAATATGGAAATGTTAGAAGAAAGAGAAGAAATTATTTTTCATTCTTAGATGTTATAAGCTCAATTTTATGATTAAATTGTTTTATTATGATTAAGATAAATGGTAACAAATTTTATCGCTCAAATATCAAAATAAAAAAACAATTTTCATCGAATACATGAGGATTTATCGTATCGACTTTAATTCAAATGCATCTTTTACTTTATGAAAATGAAAAATATTGTTTTCTTTTGTCGTTTTTTTATATAATTTTTTCAGTGGAGCTGAATAAAATTATTAAAACCGATTTTATCGCATGAATATCGAAAATAAATTCAACGAATGTGTTTAAGAACTACGAATATTTCTTCATATCATTTTGTTTTCAATAAAACAAATAAACAGAGATTACATAATTTTATTTTTTCAGATTGAAATCGACAGTGAAATTCAGTTATTCAATTGATTTGGCCTTGAATTCTTTAAGTTTAAAGTCTGGATTGTTTGAAACTTTGAATGTTTTCAAAATTCAATTTGTTTCCATAGTCAGAAATCAATAAACTATTCCTTCTTCTTCTTCGTTTGATTCTCAATCGTTCAATAGAAAAAAAAAATGTGTATGGTGCCATTTTGTTTGTTGTTTTCTCGATCCAATTTTTGCCACAAACCTCTCATAACGCATCTGCAACAACTTGAAAAAAAATTCAGATAACTATAAATTAAATCAAAATTTGAATATTAAAAATTAATGGAACAGAACAAATTATTACATCAATGATTTATAATTTTTTTGATCTTCGAGCACGCGAAACCCTTGAATCCAGTTTTATTTTTTTGCTTTGTGGTTTCTCATGAATCTCACAATCATCACCTCTTTTGCGTCCACCAGAAGTACTCGCCACTTGATCATCTAACTCAATTTTGATTGATGACATTGATAACATTCCTCGAGTAGATTTTGGAAAAAAATCGATCGATTTGCAATCAGCTTTACTATCCAGGTTCAAACTTTCGAGAGAAGTGTTCAACTTTCGCATTTTGGTCAAAACACAATCAAAACCATCATGACTTTTACGCTTTCCAAGAGTTGTTTTTAATCCAGTAAATACAAATTGAACGGAAAAAAATTGATTACGCTTATTGATGAAACCGTAAATGTTTTTGTCAATACAATCAGTTAATGTATCAACCAAAAAGCTCATTCCCGACTCAAAATCAGTATCGATGAAATAATTATCCATGATGAACACCAAGAAAACCAATGCAAAACACAATAAGAATACAATGAGAAATATAATGTGACACAATATTTCAAAAGAAAACTTGATCAAATTTCTTGAAAATTATAATGTTGACGGTGAAAAAAACTTACTTGGATTGATATTAACTGCGACTTTAATCAAATACACAGAATTCTTTTGACAGTAAAATATTTACTTTACTTACTTCGAATAAAAGACAAAATCAATTTACATACATATAAATAAGAAAAAAAAAAAACCATAAAAAGATGAGTTTCTCTGATTGGTTAATCGATTCAGAAGAAAACTTACAAAATATGACTAGAGAAGACCTTATTGAACAAGAAAAAATCGAAGAAGAAAAAAAAATTATGGAAATCAGAAAAAAATTGAAAAAAGAGCTTGCTGCAATGACGAATGATATTGAACAGGTGCAAATGTTTCTGGAATTATCTGATCAACAAAAAAGAATGGACACAGAACTTGCTTTGGATTCAATCAACAATTCTGAAGATGACTATTTGTTGCAGTTAAAGGTTATGGAGGAGAAACAAGAACTACATCAACGTTATTTGGCAAATGACGAAAAAGATTGGTTTCACTTTCTGATGAACCCGTAGATTTTGTTGTCAATACAATCAGTTAATGTATCAACCAAGAAGCTCATTGCTGGCTCAAAATCAATATTATTAAATAAATTTTCCATTATTGAAGATGAAAACCAACAAAATATGATACCAAACGCAAGGAAAATATTAATTTGAATGACAATATGACACAATAATTCAAAAGCCACTTCGATCTAATTTATTGAAAGTACTTTTGTTGACAGTAAAATTTATGCATAACAAACTTCGATTGATTTTCATTGACAACTTACATACACGTCAACAAAAAAAAAAAACGATTACGAAAATGAACTTTTCTGATTGGTACATTGATTTGGAGGAAAAATTACAACAAATGACAGAAGAAGCACTTATTGAAGAAGAAAAAATCGAAGAAGAAAAAAAAATTATCGAAATTAAAAAAAAAATTGAAAAAAGAAATTGCTATAATGACATGTGAACTTGAACAAGTGCAAATATTTCTGGAAACAACTGATCAACAAGAGAAAATAGACACGGAACTTGGTTTAAAATCAAGCGACAATTTGGAAAATGACTATCTATTGGAATTAAAACTAATGGAGGAAGAAGAAGAGATGAAACAGCGTAATATAGCAAATGAAGAAGAAAATTATAAATTTTATATAAATTCAATTAAATACCAAATCAATATGGAAAATTGAAAATAAAAAACACCACAATTTCAAAATAACAAAGCACTATGTTTTATATTCATTCCTTCTTGCATATAAAATTAAATTGAAAATCATGAAACGTTATTTTTGAATTACATTTTCATTTTCTTCGAACGAAATTCATCACATTGATATTCTCCATCAACATTATCAAAACTCCGCTTCAACGACATGTTTCCCAATTCGGATACAAGGGCCTTCATACAATCATCGCACACTTTCTTCTTGACATTAATCTCTTCTTTCGGTTGATATTTACGGTTCTTCACTTTAAAACCAATTGGAGTTTTCAAATAAACGGACCCTTTCTTGAATAACCTTTTGTCCACACGTTCATTGTAGGCTTTAAAAGAAAATCTGGTTCGTTTCGATGCACCAATTTTCCGTAATTTTTTAACTACTCTTATGCCATTTCTTTTGAAATAAATTACGTACTCATATGGATTTGGTACATCCTTTGGAGACCAATCAAAATCCATTGAAATTTGTGAATTTAACACCATCGTAAAGACAACTCGATACAGCAAAATTATGAAAATGAATAATTAACTCATGTTGAACTGTCACTACAACAAATGGCTACTAAATCATAACAAACACTAAAACACAAAATATAATGAAATGCGTAACAAAGTACGCAGGGTTCAGCTAGTATGATATAAAAAACAACAGTTACCCTTCAAAGTTTTGCAGAAAATTAGTCTATTTGTTCAATTGTTACAATTTGGATGGTTTACGATACTTGAAAAAGAAAAAATGGCAGAAATTCTTGTTTTCGACGAAAATGCTACGTGAAATGCAATCAACTTTTACAATCAACACGAGAAAGGAGTGGAGAATAAAGTAAAAAAAAAAACACACAATTCGCAACATTGGGTCAGAGATTTTTGTGTCCAGAATCAAGAGAACAAAATAACATTTTTTTTTTCCGTTTATTCGTTCACTCTCTCATGTTCATCATTTAAATGGACTCATACACACACATGCACATTTTGGGCAAAAAGTCTACCTTTTGGATTATTTATATCGCACAGATTGCAATCGTATCAAACATTATTTTCGCCTCTGTGTAATCACCAATTGAATTTGTCGCACTCCAAATTAAAAAAAATTCACCAACAGAAAACACGAAATGAACCGAAGAACGAATGAAAGAAAAAAAAAATAATGAAAATCACACACAGAAATACCGAAACCGATTCTTCTTATTATTTTTCTCTGTTTCATTCACATTTGTTCCGATGCAATTGCAACATTTTTTTTTTGATTTATTTTATTTTCGTTCGATTTTTCTCCCTTTTCTTTCGTATTCACACAATTTTTTTTCTTCTTATACACTAGGTAGATGATTATTTCTTTCGAATTTATTTTTTCTCTATTCAAACTATTTATGCGGAGGGATAACAATGATGTTCGATGTTACGAAGTGAAACGAGCTAATTTTATTTATTTCTATTATTTTCAGGCGATACACAATGATTTACTCGTCTTATGTCTTTCTTCTGCTCCGTTATTATGACTGAAAATGTAATGGCGACGAATGTTTGGATTCACTCTGCGAGTTTTTTTCCTCTTTCTTCGTTTGACTTTTACGAAGCGAGAAAGAAAGTACGGAACAAGCTCATTTGCGTGAGACAACTATATGCGTTGCATTCGTGTCTGAGCGCATGCAACAGAGTGAAACAAACCTATATTTGGCATTTGATCTGGTTGTTTTTGGGATATTTTTAGTTCGCTTTTTCACCACTCGGTTGGTCACACTGCATGCAGGTACATTTGAATGTTTAAATCGTACACAAAGATAACACAAAGTCGTTTCGAATCAAATGTTTATGTTTTCGATTAACTGAAGCATCTGTGCTTTACAGTCAATCGTTTGCCGCTTCTAAGTGTTAAATTTAAATTGAGAAATCAGGAGTCGATTGATATTTGGTGGAACAGTGAAGAAATTTCCCTTCGTACATGAGATGTCCATGTGAACGCAGACTACTGCCAACAGATGGTGTATGTAGAAAAGAGGGAATTTCGTGTTTTTTTTTTGTACGTTTTATGTTCTGAATTTCAGTAACAACTTCCATAGCCATTCTTCTCTACGCCTTCATCGATTTCACTCAAATTTCTAATGCTGTGGAAAGGCCGATATAACCTTTAAATGAATCTATGGCTATTTACTAAAATCGAAGTATATTTCCATCAATTTATCGAATTTTGCACAAAAAAAAAATCGAATTGCAAAGTCGGTATCGCTTTTTCTTTTCTTTTTCCGCATCTTTTCTATTTTGTTTCAATAAACTCAATATGTTTTCTTCGGTTCACAACCATTCACAACTCGTCGAGATGATCTCAAATACAATCACTTGATAGAACGACGAAAAATGCAAGCTGCATCGAAATGTCATCCATTTGGAATTATTGTGAACAACTATTGCACTATTGCAACTATTGCAAATATTGCGCTGCTCTGTCTACTTGGAATTTGCGGTCACTCGAAAATTCGAAACAGGAAATTTTTCATGCCAACAACTGTTTACCAATCAATTGCATGCGATTCGATTAGAATAAAACACCCATAATTTTTTTTTCTGTCGATGATTTCAAGCAAATGATTATGACGACTTCACCATTCTCTAGTGTAAATGTATGACGCTGTCCACGTTATGTGCGCGCCTGTGAGGCGCGGCGTCGCGTTCGACGTACACTGTATACATTCGAAATGAGATGAGCGCGCACGTTGAGCTACACATCCAGTGCGTATTATGTGTATGCACATGTACTGACATATACACGCCGACTACTGACGTGAGCGCTTTGCCCGCGTCAACGGTCGGTATGTATACGTGCATGTATGCGTGCATACACATAATACTGAATGTGTAGCTCGACGTGCGCGCTCATCTCGTTTCGTATGCATGTTCAATAGGGCGGGTCGATTTTTTTTTCGACCAAATACCTATGATTTCCGTGTTCTATGGGTCATTCCAAGAAAATTTGCCCAAGGAACCATATCTCTATCGTTAAAATCGAGTCTGCAAGTTTTTTCCTGTAAGTATTTTGCGCACCTATGAAGTGTCAATTTCATTTTCACATCCATAATTCAAAAACTATTGATCGGATCAAGTTGATTTGACAACCGTTGGAAAGCTGAGCTCATTCTGATCAATTTACATATAAAAATCATCGATATTTGTCATACGGTTCAAAAGTTATCAGCATTTTTCTAGATTTTTGGACGTTTTTTTTGACTTTTTTACTGATTTCGTCCAAAAACATTACGTTATCGGCCATTTTTGGGCTGAATCTAAATTTTAATTCAAAGTACAATTAAAAACGAAGATTTCGAGCTAAAAATTATTGAAATCGGTTGATTAGTTCATGAGATATTGCTAAAATAGTGAACACATAAAACACCCTTTTTTATACTTTTTTGTCTTTTTAATTTTTTCACTTCAAAAATTCAAATTAAGAGATAAGAAAGTATTGGAATCAAAAAAACTATTCAATTTGAACGACATATAACGTATTTTTTTCAAAACAAAAAGGCGGTAATGCTGTTTATCGACATATATGTATACTATGCATATATCAAATGTATATCGACATGTGTGACAGATTGCAAGCAACGCCACCATTCAATGACATGTGTGAGAGCATACTTTATTGTTTACAAGCTATGTTAGTTTCGTTTGAGCGTCATTTCAGTGAAGTGTAATCGAATGTTACTTGAAATTAATAATAAAAAATCAAATTTTGTGTCTAAAAAAACGAACTATTTTAAAATTTAAAAAGGATTAAAAGGTATGTGTTAAAACATTGCTAATTTTAATTATTATAGTGATATTAATATTCTATCAAATTCATGAACAAAAAACCCGCATATAAAATATACAATACAGCAAGCATATATGTTCAAGTGAGACAATATGTCATTACGCACGCACCACATACTCAATGCATGAGTGAATTCATTCGCTCAACATAGATGCTTGCTGTGTATTTGGTATAGGCAGCGCAGTGCCGAGTTAATGTTTTTCGGGGCTTGAGGCAAAAATACAAAAGTAGTACAAAGTCTAAATAAATGTAGACAATTTTCATTAACTTTTTCAATTCTTTTAGTGACACTTAAAAAAATGGATCCAGAACCACATTCATCGGAAGACCCAACAGATACCCAATCCAGTAGTTTGCAACATTTGGTCGCTCATGATGTTGCTTCTTTTGGCGTGGCTTGTGAATTACTTGATCTTAATCTGCCAACTAAACGGGATATCTTGCGGTATTATTTTTTCCTTGCCGAACGTGCAAAAGGCCAAAGCAAAATGTTTTCGTATAAAACATTTACTCCTCAAGTAACGGACAGATTGTTTGAAATTTGGAGTAAACTTAATATTGAACTTATACACAAAAGTAGCATCAATAGAAAATTGAATGCTTTGCTTGACGCATATCGTAATGCAAATAAACGAAGAACAACAGTCCTAACAGTATTCACAGAGTTCGTACAATCAACAAACGAATTACTTAATATTGGAAAATGTCAATGCAACTTGAAAACAAATGACTGCTCATGTGGATCTATTCCAGAAAACTTGAAAGATTTCATGCGCGATCAAAATAATGACAGAATACTAACGATACCGGAACACGATAGTGGAAGTGAAGAGACGATACCAACGACTATACCAACAATCCCAGTGAGCAACGATCCTACATGCACACCAGATGATGACGCTATGGAAGTTGATTTTGGAGAAAGTTCACAATCAGCAGGTGTACAAAATGTTCCACCACCACTAACATACACTCCCAGATACAATACTGAAAACTATGCTATGATGTGTGACAGATTTGGTGTGCATGATAGAATGGCATCAGCATTGGCAACAGCTCTGATGGACGACCTGGGCGTAAAAGATGCTTGTGGCAATCCTATCATCATGGATAAAAGTAAAATTCGTAGAGAAAAGGAAAAATGGAGACAAGAAGCGCTTCGTAAGCGGTATGATGGCTCAAATTTGCTGGTATTTTCATTCGACGGCAGGAAAAATGATGCTCTAACTTTAGAAAAAATTGATGAGAAGTGGCATACAAGGATGGTAAAAGAACCTCATCTAGTTGTTTTGAGGGAACCACATTCTCAATTGATAGGCTACACAAAATTGGAAAATGAATCTGCTGAACACAAAGTCGACCAATTAAGCGATGTTTTCCGAGAAAAACAACTGTCTCTGGATTCATTATTTGGTATATGCTCTGATGGTGAACCAACAAATACTGGCATACACGGTGGAGTTTTGCGACTATTCGAAAAACAGTTAAAGAGACCACTGCACTGGTTTGTGTGCCTTCTGCACTTTAACGAGCTTCCGTTTAGACATTTGTTTGACACTTTGGAAAAATCATCCACCACTGGACCACGATCAGCTACCGGAAAGTTGAGCACACAAATTGCTGATTGTGAAAAACTTCCGGTATGCAATTTTTATAGCTTATTCTTTACGATTTTCCATTCTATTTCTCAGCTTTTATGTTTTATTTTCAGGTGGTACCAGATTTTGAGAAAATCGCACTGAAAATATGCCTCCTGGTGAAATAGATCCAAAGGAATTATCTACCGATGCGAAATACTTGTACCAAATGGCCCATGCAATTTCTAGTGGTGACATTCCGACGGATTTTTCTTATAATAAACCAGGAGGAATTGCACACTCTCGCTGGCTCACCAAGGTCAATAGATTATTACGGTTGTATGTGACAACTAATAAACCAACTCAAAATTTAAGAATTCTGGCAAACTATATAATAAAAGTGTATACACCAATGTATTTCAATATTAAGTATTATAGCTCTGTTGTGTACGGTAGTACATTACTTTTTAAATTTATAAGTTGGACACAATATTTACAACCGAATTTACGTCAAGTTGTAAAGTAGTTCAAGATAATGCATATTTTGCACACTCAGAAAATATCTTGCTATCTATGTTGTTCGATGATAGAATGGAAAAACGAAACATTGCTATAAAGAAGATTTTACATTATCGAAAAGATCTGGTCGACCCAACGCAACTTAGAGTTTATAAAAAACCTTTTATAAACTTTAATTGTACGGACTATACAAATATGATTGACTTAAATGACGATACAATTTTATTCGAACCACCGTTTACGCAAAATTATTCGTATGAACATTTGGAGGGATATTTAGATTACGAAGATCCACCGTTCCCTGATCCAGAAATTCCGCCACACATACAAGGAACGGAAAGACACACACTTGAAGCACCTGCATTGAACTCATGCCATTTTCAGTAGAAGCAAACTTGTTGTGAAAGCGAGATAAAAGTTTTGAAGGAAGAGTTGAAAAATTTGGAGCAGCAAGTGAAACATATGAGAATTGAATATAATAATTTACTTGTAGAAAATTTGCAAGAGGACGTTATTATACGCCAAAAAAAATCGGAAATTGCCCAAAATAAATTCATGAATTTTGAAACAATCCTTTCAAAAGAAGTGTTGAACCAGCTGAATTCATTTGGCAATTCGCAACGAAACAATAAAACAAAAAAGTTTAAGTGGTCGTTCGAAAAAAGGTGTTTCGCGAAGTGGCATCAGTCCAGAGAAAAAAAATATTCTCGAAAGATTATACAACGAACGTATGAGCCACATACCGTCAATATTGGAATCGCGTAAAAATAATTTAAATAAACTCATTAGAAACGCGATTGATAATTCAAACAGAAAGTAATAATTGAAAATACAGTGTCATTTTCCGTTTTGTTCCATACCGCTTCATCGTAAAAATACACACACATAAAGAGACATAGTTTCGCGAACACGCCGAGTCAACATCGTCGCTAGGGGGATTTAACTACGTGAAAACTTGTAAAAAAATGATATAAATGCGCACGAAATTGTTACATTCACCAGAGAACTTGCATGATTCCACTCAGTTGACAAGTTCCGCATTAAAACAACATGCGCGAACGTGCGCGAGTTCGTGTGCAAACATGAAGCTGGACGACGCGCACACATCAGTCGTTCCATTTATTATATCTGGATTAACTTTTCCAACACTTTCTCCAGCTCTTTAAAAATATTTCCTTTGTCCATTTTATAATTATATAAATCTTTGAACTTTTGGAAAGGATGTGAAAAATCTTTATACACGTACACAACCAATTTTTAGTTTGAAACGCGTTTTAGTTGTCAAATAACAACTTGAAAAACGCGCAAAACCATAAACAAACTTGTGTAAACTTGTGACCGTGCGCGTCGGTACATACAACGAACGCGTCGAACTTCCGCGAATCAAGCAAACTGGCAGAAAACATGCTGAACTCGTAAGAGTTAAATTCCCCTAGCATCGTCGACGGATACAAATCATTACTTCCGTATTCTTCGTTCGAGTGCTACATTACCACAGCATCCAAAGCCAGTGCGCATAAATAAAAAAAAATCATCAAAAAAGTGCTGTTTTGCCAAGATTTTTGACTCGTGCCTAGTTGTGTAAAATGGGTGTGTATTTTGTTAATTACCAATTAAAGGAATAGTAAATTGAATATTTTATATACTGCCAAATTGCAGATTGGTTTGTGAAATGCTAATTTTAATAAGGTTTGTTATTTCAAATGTTCATTAGGTCGCCCTAAAAAAACTACGTCAAAACAGCGAGCAAATCGTGGAAAAAATTGGGCAATGCTGAAAAAGGCCGTTGATCAGTCAAAGTTTTGTGCCATCATTTTGGATGTCGATGATTCCGATAAAGAAAATGTTGAAGAAAACGCTGGGGAAAACGTGGGAGAAAACGGACCATCCACATCTCGAGCTCAAGCAAACCATTCCCAAGTTACCGATGAACCAGATGACGATTTAATAGAAGTCGTAGATGTCGAAACATTCGACAAGAATGGGTTGAAAGGGCGTCCAAAACCGTTGAATGCATCGAAAAATCTCTTTTTGATGATTGAAAAAATGAAGAAGGAATTCAAGGGGGAAGTGAAGGCGCTTCAACAGCGTATACTTTCGCTGGAACAGGAACTGCATGGAGACACCACGGAAAGTGCACAAAATGGGCCAATCATTGAACAACCGGCCAGTGGGTCTCGCAATTGGTTTAACGACGACGGAGAGCTAAATGTCAGCGCACTCGGTTCAATGCTCCACAACACAAGTTTCAGTGCAATGAGCGTAAGCGCCATACAACAAATGCTGGAAGATGAAGACTAAAGTTTTTCCATTTTTTTCGTGGCAAATGAATAAATTACTGAAGAAAAATAAATAAAATACAGCAATAATATTTTTGGGTGTTGTAAAAATACAACAAATCTTATAATTGATTTGGTTTTAATCATTTTCTACTTTTCAGCTCGTAACGGTCATTTCTGTGTTTCAGCTTGCATCATAGTAGCCATGAATTATGGTTTGTATACATCGACTCGAAAGCGTCGCTGGTGATGTTCTTGTCGTTTCGCCGCTTACACACTTCAAGTCACTGCAAAGCGACGTACAAAGTGTGTATGTATATGTGTGAGGATTTGCTTCGTCTTTTTCGGCTCTTGTTGTTGCTTTAACGCGCTAAGTTTAAATTGAATTGGATTTTGACTTTGCAGTAATACTTTTTTGTTCTCTCTGAAACAAATCCCGAGAAAAAAGTCATCGAACCAAATATACATAGTTTAATGTTTGTTTACATATGTATTTCGTTCCGTTCGAAACAAACATACATGGAAAGCGAGATTTTCTGAAAAAAAAAACAGCGCTGGACAGAAAAACAAACTGAACCAATGTGTAATTTATGTATATATATCGCATTATTCGAATAAGAACATTATTTGCCCTATATCTGATCATTTGATGCATGTATAATATAAAAATGATGGGTACGGGCAAAGGAAAATGCAGGCCGCGCTAGCGTCCTATCTAAATACATTATAATGAATAAGTACAAACTAATACATATGCATTTCTACTATGAATACGTTTCATGCTATGTGTTTTAATTTCATTTAATTTTGGAAATTGAAAAAAAAAACTTCTCGACAAAATATATTTTAAAACATCATTGCAATAAAAAAAAACTTCCAAGTAAGAATGAATATATTGATATTGAGTAAGAAAATTCGGTGAAATCGGTGAAATACTTGAATCAAACATAAACGTTTGAAAAACGTACGACGCGCGCCAAACCATAAGTGATGTCAAATTGTGTACAAAGAGTGAAGCAATAGTGCGTTTAATGCTATGTGCTATAGTGTCTCTGTTGATGTTGATCGCTGACGTTTATAGTGGTAGGGAAAATGCATGCTTCTTGTTTTTCGATAAGATTAATATTGGACGAACATTATTTGCCCTGTATCTGATCATTTGATGCATGTATAATATAAAAATGATGGGTACGGGCAAAGGAAAATGCATGCTTCTTGTTATGTAAAACAAAGAAACTTTGCTTGATTTCAATCCATTTCATGGATGTTTGATAAAAAAAAATATTAAAAATCATCAACCGAAAATGCGTGCCTTTTGTTTTTCGATTAACGGCATGTAAAACAAAGAAACTTTGCCTATTATCACTACTAGAAAAGCGAGAGATATTGTGGAGTAAGTATAATGGGACGTTTCTATTGCTTAAAAATCATGTTCCTTTTGCTTTCAAGAAAGGGATAGAACAGAGGATTTCAAGGGATGAAACGAATACTAACCTTGTTTGAGTTAAATTCTCCTTTGTTCCGGTTAAGTTGAACTTTCCACTTTCACTTCTGATTTATATATTTATATATTCACTGTTTTTCTGTAGTATTTTAGTCACTGTTGTCTTTTCGCTCACTATTGTATATATGTCAATGTATTTCAGGTGTTTATTGTATTTGTTCACTGATCTGGTCCACTTCTTGTTTATCTAAAAATTGTCTTTTCACTGACTATTGTATATATACAAACATGTGTTTTAAGATTGCTGAGCATCTCAGCATTTCGTAAGGCACGGATATATCCGAGCATATCGACGACGCATACAGTGGCGTGCGTTGCTACGCGCAGCCGCAACGACTCGACCGGAATGTGTATGTTGTTGCTGCGTGCAGCCACATCAACTGAACACACTTCGGTCGAGTCGTTGCGGCTGCACGTAGCAACACACGCCACTGTATTATACAGTATGCGTCGTCGATATGCTCGGATATATCCGTGCCTTACGAAATGCTGAGATGCTCAGCGATCTTAAAACACATGTTTGTATATATATGTCTCACTTTATTTCGATTTTTTTTCACTTTATTTCGATATTATTTGACTTTCCGCACAAATTGTTTTAAAAAAAAATTACGATTGAAAACTACGGTCTGAACACAACGAGCAAATCACAACTAATAATTCGTATTAGAAGAAATGTCAAACAAAATGTCAATAAGAATGAAGTATACTACAACAGAAAATGCGACATGAAATGGGTGCGTTTAATGATATGTCAAGAAAATAACATATAGCAATACGTATACTAAATGGATTTATAATCATCAACCGAAAATGCGTGCTTTTTGTTTTTCGATTAACGGCATGTAAAACAAAGAAACTTTGCTTAATTTCAATCCATTTCATGGATGTATGATAAGAAAATATTAAAAATCATCAACCGAATCGACATACATCACCTCTTGATTTATTATTTGTTCCTTAGACCTGGAATTAATTCAAATACGTTGAAATCATTTAAAAATGTGAAAATTACATTCGTTGCGACGTCTCTGCAAGGTGGAGGCATTATACGATGATTTTTTCCTTATAATTACGCTATTTATTTGTTATTTCGAAAAACAAAATTTTCTTATATATGCGAAATGATATTCATCATATTTCGTTTCAAATTCCCAAAGATGGCTATACACAAAGCGAAGCAAAACCTCCAAATGGATACGCAGACAACTTCAATTCAATCGGATGATTTCCATCATGTTTGACAGATATGACATACAACTGACATACAACGAGTAAAACTACAGTAGTGAAGACGCACTAAAAAAAATTTCGTGAACATTTTACATTTTTTCATTGAAAAACAATACAAATAAATACAAGAGTGTGCTAATAAAAGTGAGTACAAACAAAATTGTTGTTGAAACTTTTTTTTTATTTTAATAAAATGAAATATTTATTTACAGTGGCTCGTACCAAAATGGCTGGCAATGCAGCAGTGCCGAAACACAAGCCAGTTGCGCGTTTCGGATCCAAAAGTGAGTTTTCCTTTTTATTATAATTATTATTATATATTACTTGATATTATTTCAACGAATTGAAAAACGACATTTGAATTTTATTCCAATAAAATCTACAGCGGCTGGTACCAAATCACCCGTAAGTGCTGCGGTTCCAAGTGGAGCGGACCAAATCAAAATGAGTAAGTAATGATACACTTAATTAGAAAATATTCAATTATTTATATTTTCATTACTTAATCGATTCGTTTTGTTTTATTTTTCAGCTCTGGACGTGGAAGTGAAAGCGCTCGGTGCAAAATGGTTCCGCAGCAATGATTTGGACATCCGTGTGTCGAAGGAGCGGTATATGGGCACCGAACACTTGTGTGTCCACATTTTCGCATCGACGAAAAGTGTGGTGGTATCGGCTAAGATGGAAGCCCTCGGATGGGAGGCGGATATCTTGGCCGATGTGTTGCACCCGAAACATCTTGGGACCGGCCGTGGACTGATGAAGTGTTCCGAGATCCAACATCTCGGAAATCTCCAGATATCGCTGGAAATAAATCAGCATATTTACACTGCATCCCTCCTGCACTTCTCAGCGATGCACGTTACCAGAATTTTGGCTGGTACACAGCACATTTCACCAGTTGCGACTTCGGTCATATATTCGTTGAAGCGAGTATAGTGTGAGTACGGCTTACCAGTTAGAACGTGTGTACATAAGGCGCGAACTAAGACGACAATTCACTTCGCAAAAATTCGACCGCTTCGCACACACGTTGTAACTGGTAAACCGTACACACGAGCCACAGTTTGCTTTGATTCGCATGAACGAATGTATGACCGAAGAAGCGAATGGTGAAATGTGCTGTATACCAGCCGATCAACTGGTGACGTGCGTCGCTGAGTTGACGGTGAACAACAACCGATCAAAAATTGAAGTGACGGATGTGAACGCCTTGGTAGCCGCTGATACCAGCACATTCAGGATATTGGGTTGCGCCGCTTTATGGCAATTTGTTAACCACAAGGGTGTCGCTGGCAACTTGATGCTCCGTTTGGACTGTGTCAATTCAGACACGCCAACGAAGGTCAAGATGTCAGCAACACTCGATAGACCACAGGAAACACGTGAAGAAATTCACACGTTTTCCAAATACGACATCAATGACCTGGATTTCGGAATGTGCAGCGCGAAAACTTTGATTTTCAAAGTCACTCTCATCAATCTCGGTCCAGACTAAAGTTCACTTTGAACATTTTTCAAACATTTTTCAAACACTTTTCAAACATTTTTTTAGCATGGGCTTCTCCCTCCACCCTTTGGTGATGTAGGTTGGTTTTCTTATAGGTTTATTAAGTTTAAATAAAACGAATCCTCGAACTGAGGTGCCCGAAAGGGTAATTCGAATTAACTCAAAAACAAATTTGTTTTATTTTCATTTTACCCATTCCAGCTTAAGCGAATGGATAACAATTGATCAAGGAATGTTCGTTATTTATGCTTTCGATCGAAAAACAAGAAGCATGCATTTTCCCTTTCCCGTACCCATCTTTTTTATATTATACATGCATCAAATGATCAGATATAGGGCAAATAATGTTCGTCCAATATTAATCTTATCGAAAAACAAGAAGCATGGGCAAATAATGTTCGTTATTGAATCTATCAGGAAGTTCACAGCCAATAGCTTCACCGAAAAATAAAAGTCCAACGAAAGAAGCATGGTTTTGCCATATGTGTATGGTATCCAACACAGGTGACGAATGCTGTTCGTGTAGCGAATTCAAGGGGACTCATTCATTGCCTGAGCTCAGCAACGAATATTCGTTCTTCACATATGTGAAGCAAAAAAATGGGCATGTACAAGTTGCTGTGTGGAAAATAGTCACGAGGATGTAGTATGTCCGTTAGAGTGTTTTTCATATCTTTGAATAAAAAAATTGTGGTTTTCAATTTAAAGAGCATAAAATCCTGTTTCAAATTATAGCCTTAATGTGAAGCATCGATTGATATTGGCACGTCCCGAAGCAAAGAACACTTTGAAGCAAAATTTGTCTAATGTCTATGTATTGAATTAGTTTTATTGATGTGAACCGAGCCTTATGACATTTGACGTTCATTTCATTGGTTTTCGAAATGTCATATTGTCATAATCGTCGGTTTGCTCATACCGAGAACACATTTGGCGTTGTAAACACCGAGTCAACAAATCAATCGTACATTTCATTACAATAAAAACTACAGCAGTGTAAATTCCAATTCAATGTTTTAATTTTCCTACAATTCCGCTTATAATTCATATTATTTTCGATACAGGTGCGATTTGTATCAATTTGATCCGGCACATTGTTGAATTCAAGTGACTTGAGTGTGCGTATACTTAATCATTTTAATGTCTTCTTATTGTGAAATTCATTTTTGTTTCATAGCACGTAATATAAGCCATTTATAACGTGAAATATATTTAAACGAGTCTAATAATTATTTAACGTTTAACATTTGAACAGTTATATTACATTTTATGGAAAAAATAATGAATTTCACAATAATTTTGCAGTACATAATTCTGTTGCGTGACGTGGTAAAATTCATTTCAAGCGGTGATACCCAATATGAATTGGTTCCATTGTTCAGAGATGAAGAGAAACAGTTAATCACTTCTCAAAATCACTGCCATTGTTATCAATTCGAAGTTTTTGTCACTTTTGTGTGTTGCATCAGTGTGTATACCAAAAAAGGCGATAAATTCTCGTTCTGTTGTCGTTCAAACAAATTGAACTTTGAATTCGTTTTCAAACTAAATCGAATGTTTTTTTCTTTCTTTCAGTAGGACAGCAGCGCCACCTGCTACGTCGTTCATGGTTGTTCATTCTGACGTTTATTTGTCATTTGTATGATCTTGTAATCATTCAAACGCTTCGTGTTTTTAAATAAATGTTAATTAAAAATAGTGAAATAATGGAATCTCAAATAAATTCTGTGGAAGTGCCAATATTTTGGCCATCCCTTGAACAGTTTGCCAATTTCGGAAACTTTATAAAATGGCTAGAAGCGCAAGATCTGTCCTTCGCAAAAGTAAGTAATGTGAGATTAAAAAATACCACACCGCCGATTAAGGAGTCGAATGTTTTCACGTACATTTTTATGAGTTTTAATTCATTGATTTCATATTTTAGGTCATTCCACCACCAGAATGGGAACCAAAGTCGAAAATAATTCCTGGTGAATTCATGTTGGAGAATGTATATTCTCAACGTCACGACAAACTGCAACACGGTGGATACGAGATTATTAACACTAAATTGGACCCAATGACTTATAGTCACTACGTTCAATTGGCAACTGCAAATGAATGTGAAATAAACGAAGACAAATTTTGGGAAAATGTGGCCTCCAAATCTTCTTCAAATCTGTACGCCATAGACAACGACATCAGTCTATTTGGGGATGACGTTTCGCTGTGGAATTTAAGTAAATTAACGAAAACCCATTCCAATATACATGGCACAAACACTACAATGGTGAGTTCGCCAAAAAATTAAATTTTAGAAAGTTTGAAACCGATTAGATCGATTTATAGGTAGTTCCCATACAAAATGACCTATTTTTCGTTAAATACGTATGTTTTTTTTTTGAATAACAGAATATCGCAGAAGGAATTCAAAGACCATTTTCGTACTTTGCTGTTGGATCGTCTTGTTTTGGTGCTCATATTGAAGACGGAAATTTAAACTCAATAAATATTTTGCACAGAGGAGCACCAAAACTGTGGTACTTCATTCGCCAGGACCAAAACAAGAAATTTGAACAATTGACGAAAAAAATGTCCAAAAATATCGACTGTGATCTCTATGTGCGCCATAAAACTATACTCCCGTCACCATCAGTTCTTGATGCGCAGAAAATTGGATTCTCTCGAGTAAGTACAGCGTGTTTTTTTTGTGGTAACCGATGTTTTTTTCGAAAAAAATGATGAAAATATAAAAAATTCTTTGTTTATTCTTTTGAATCCATCATTTTTTAATTAGGTCCTTCAAAATGCGGGTGAAATAATAATTTCATTCAGTGGAGGCTACCATTTTGGGTTCAGTTTGGGGACCAATGAGGCAGAGTCTGTGAATTTCGGCTCAGAAAGGTGGTTGCGATTTTTGATGACTTCAAAATATGCACATGCTCGTAAGAGAAATATTTCCAATGTTTTTCTTAAATTATTCAATATCGACCCTCTGCAATTTCATCTTACAGCTACTCGGGAGATGAACAACACATTAACCTCAGATGGCTCTCCCGAATCGTCGATGATATCCGTTCGCAGGTATGTTGATGATAAGTTTGATATCAATGATCTATTGATTTGCTTCAATTTTCGTTTTCTTCTTGCAGTTTCCCTGTAAGATATGTGAAACCAATTATGATTCGGAGTCTGCATTAAGAATGCATAATAGTTTGATCCACGCACCAAAATTGAACCGTTTTCAGTGTAGTTTGTGCACGAAGCTTTTTACGACACCGTACAACCTGAAAATACACATGAAAGATATTCACAGCGCGAATAAAAGTTTAAAAACAGTAAAATCATTGAAAACAGTAGTGAAGAATAAAAATGAAGCAAAGCCCAAAGAAAATAAAACGGAAAAATACCGCAAGTTGTTAACATGTGTTGTGTGCGGTGTGACTGCACGAGGCACGGGAAATATGAACCGACACATGAAACGTCATCCAGGTAAATTATCACATGATACGAATGCAAAATTGAATTTACTTGAATTGAATTTCAATTTCCACAACATTCAATTTTTCATTTTTGTTCTGTTTTTTTAAGGAGTCACAACAGGAAAAGGGGCAAAGAGGGAAGATGTGACTGATGAGCATAGCCAAGGTAATGAAACGTCATGCCAACCCATCCAAGAAACAAACATGGGAAATAACTCAGATGGTAAATTTTCTCATAAAAATAATTAATTGAACGAATTTCAATCGTTTTTGATATGAATTTTTTCAACATTGTATTTTTTAAATTTAAGGAGTCAAACGGAAATCGACAACTCAAACTTCTCCGACAGAAAAAAAAACGGTGATTGATGGATATAGTCAAAGCAAAGTAATCTCCCTGAATGAAGATAAGAGCTCCCAAATGGTCGCAAATTTGGACAAACCAGCACAAGCCAAATATCGGATCCCTGTCAAAGGAAGAAAATTGAACAAACAAATGAAAGAAGTGCAAATGGTCGAACCACCACGAATGCAAATTGGTTCTAGTGGAAAAATTCCAAAGATGTCAAGATCAGTCTCATCTTTTGGGTAAAAGATTTCTAAAAAATAATTTATTAATTTATAGTACTTCATTCCTTCTTTTTCTTTCACTTATTAGAAAACTTGATATGGAAAACCTATGGACATACAAAATCCCGACAAATATTCGTAATATCGAATTCAACGCCGACGAATCAGCTTTCGAAATTCTCAACAGTTTAATGGGCCAAGCTCGATCGGACCAAGCTTCATGTATATCGACGTTCACTGCCATGATTCATTTAAAAGAAGCTTCAGAATCCAAACGAATCAGCAAATTCGACATTCAAAAAGTTCGCCTTTCTCTGCAATCAAGTAAGGATAAAATTTTCAAAATTGGATATGACGTAAGAAAAATATTCGTTTCTTATTATTTTATTTATTTTTAAACTACTTTTGAGCATAAAGTATATTTAAGTTAAAACAAATTTCAATATTTCAGGAGAATTTTCCAAATATTTTAAATGCCTGGAACGAGTCACTTTTGGATGGGCTCATTGTTGAGTCCATTGGAATGCCAGATGATGTGTTTTCAGCGCGTATGAGTGGATGTGATACTGAATTCATCTATATCATGATCACCGGGGGCTTCGACGATTTAAAGAATCGTTACAACAAGGAAATATTCAATATTAGTTTCCACATCAACCGGTTACCTTTCCAACTGCAGCATAATGCTTTAAAGTGAATAGGAGACCACAACCTCTTTGATAAGTTGATATCTTATCCTTCATTTTGGATCGAACAGCCCAACGTCGAATCTCACCAACTGAGGTAGTCATTAATACAATTCCTATTTTCAAATCAAAGACCTAATCTTCATTTTGTGTTCGATTTCACTTCAGCTGCGAAATGGCCAAGTCACTGAATGAAAACCAGCAGAAAGCTGTTGAAAATATAGTTTTAGCACAAAATCGACCGATTCCATTTCTGCTGTATGGCCCTCCCGGTACAAACACAATTTTTTAACGCATGAAACTTATGATCGTGTACTAAATTATTTTTTTCTGCAAAAGGAACTGGCAAGACGCGAACACTGGTTGCAGCAATTGAAAAAATTGTTCGCACAACAAAAAGTTACGTGTTGATGTGCGCTGGGTCGAACTCGGCATGCGATGAAATCACTGAACGTCTTTTGAGTGTTTTACGTGATGATGAGATATTTCGAATGTACGCCAAAACTTTCAACAAGAAAAAACTGAGCTCCAAGATCAGACCAGTTTGCAATTTTATAGATGGAGAGTTCAAATTTCCATCGCTTGCCTACTTGTATAAGTACCGCGTTGTTATCTGTACTCTTCTTACCGCTGGATCTTTAACGCGAGCTCGTCGATTGGACCCCAATTTCGATTCAAATCACTTTTCACTCGTTCTTATTGACGAAGGTGGTTTTGTTCAGGAGCCAGTTTCGTTGATTCCCATCGCTGTTTTTTTTTTACCATAATTATTTTTTGTGTTTGACATGAATTGAAAATTTAGATTTATGGAGTCAAATTTTCCAAACAACAATTTTTATCGTTTTTCCAATATTTTTCAATGTTTGCAGGTTTATGTAGTGAAAACGGTGAAATCAAATGTCCGATCCGAATCAATTGGATGCAGTTGTTTAGTCCACATATGCAAAAGAACTTAACTACAATACTTCATACATGGAATTTTTAATGAAGCAAGACTGCTATCAAAAAATGGATTCTAAGTGTATTGTACAATTGACAGAAAATTACAGAAATCATTCGGCGATTTTGAACCCGGTCAGTAAATTGTTCTACAATCAGACGCTTCAGTCCAAAGCACCAACGGGTAAATACTATTTACTAATTAATTGAAAATAGGATTATTTTATTACTATATCTGTGTATTTCATTGCCATTTTTGTTAGATACCATGGATTGGTTCATAGGGAGTTCTTTTTTGCCAATTAAAGAATTTCCTGTCATCTTTGAAAGTGTTCAAGGGGTATGCGAGAAGTCAAGTGACTTCAGCTCCTTCAATATGGCCGAGGTGACTGTCGTGATGAAGCATGTCACGGATCTTGCAACAAAGAAATGGAAGAAATGGAACGGAGAGCTAGTATCTACATCAGACATAGGAGTGATATCCCCATATCGAGCTCAATGCGACGAAATTCAAAAGTTATGTAAATCTTGTAAATTTGATAAGGTCACTATCGGTACGGTAGAAACATACCAAGGCCAGGAGCGCCCGATTATAATGCTGTCAATGGTCCGGTCTGCTGGCAAAATAAACAAATTCGTTGAAGATAGTAAGGTAAGTAACATTATATTTTTTAAGATGGTCACAAAAAGATCATCATTTAACATCGCTAAAGTGAACACCGTTTTTGGCCAATTTTTTTCACATACATTTTGATAGAAACCCCGAAGTTTATTGAAATCGAATCTGGTGACATATCATTATTTTGGTTTACTTTTGGAACGCTTATGTTGCTTTTTAAGAAACTATCAGTGCAAAAACATGTTTTTTTTGGGTGAGGGGATAACGTATGACAGAAATGGGGAAACGTATGACAAAAATGGGAAAACGTATGACAAAAATGGGTGGAAACGTATGACAAAAAATGGGAAAACGTATGACAAGAAATGGGAAAACGTATGA